TTGTGGGGGTAAGCGTTAGTTAAAGTGTTGACCCCACCCTTAACCCAGTGCCATTACCCACTTGCTTCCCAGCTCCACCCTCCACCAGGATAATCCTTCTCATCTACCAAGTCCCTTCAGAAAAATATCTTCCATTGTCCAACCCATGATCTGACAGTTTGTATCTTAAGCTTTTCTTGGCTTCTGTGATATGATTATATAAACAAATGCCATAGAAATTGAAAAACACTAAAATTGAGTTGTTTCATTGATGGTTTGGGTTTTTTAGTGTGTTTTGTTTTCTCCCCAAGAGAGCCAGTTGGCATTTACTCTCACACCACGGGCCATATCTAACTCGAGAAAGTCTGGCAGATTCAGTCCTTGACTTAATAGATAGCTCCAAATGCAAAACCTAAAAACCACAATCCTACACTCAAAAAAGGGAAGACAAGAGTTTTTTATGGACTGAGGAGTCACTATTTTTTCCTCAGTCTCCTGATGGTCGTGGAATATCTTTCTTCCAAGTAGAAACTCATACAGATATTCAGCCTCTACCTTCCACTGTATTAACTTCATTGTTCAGGTAGTGATTCTCCACCCATTCTATAGGACCTTATTATTACCTCAGGAACTGAAAATAAAATTGCTAAGAGAACTCTGGTAGTGTACTGTTAAGGAATTTTGCTGCCACTGGAGAAGGTACATAGTTCAAATCCACCAGCTGCTCTGTAGGAGAAAGATGGGCTGTCTCCTCCTGTGCACTGTATTGCCTCTGAAAACAAGCTAGAGGGTCAGCTACGGGTCAGTTTTGACTCGATGGTATACAACAACAATGACAATATGTGTGCCCCTGTGACAGGAGGGGTTCTGTGAGGTAGAGTTTGAAATTGCTGTAGAGTCGGAACAAACTCATACCTGACTCTCCAGTGGGTCTTCAGAGGAAAATCACAGGAGAGGAGACTACTTATCTCTCGTCCTTGGAGCCACTGCTGGGTTTGAACCACCAGAGAGGCCCTACATCTGGGTTAGCAGTTCGACTCCCGACAGAATATTCTGCACAATATTTATGAGAGTTTTCCTTGGGGTCAACACCTAGAGCGAGGCAGGAGAGCCGTGGACAGGGTAAAATTCAACTCTGAAGGAGACTCCACGAGACTTATCTGATTCTACAGGAGTATTGTTGCTGAAATGGCAAAGTTGTCCTGCTTAGAGCCAAACTGAAATGATGCCTTTGAGTTGTGGTGCTGGAGAAGAGTCTTGAACATACCATGAACATAGAAAGGGAACAAATAGTTCTGTCTTGGAGGGTAGGATTTTGAAGTTCCGTCTCACATACTTTGGGCATGTGGTCAGGAGAGATTGGTCCTTGGACATCATGCGCAGAATGGTGGAGGGACAGCGCAGGAGAGGAAGACCCCAGATGAGATGGATTCATATAGTAACTAGGACAATGGGGGTAGGTGTATCGGAGTCAGTAAGACTGGCTAAGGACAGGGCACGCTTCAGAGCTTTTGTATATAGGGTCTCTATGAGTCGCAGGTGACTTGACGGCATATAACAACAAGAGCATTATACCTGCACCCTGATTAGTCATTCTGTGAAGACTTGCCTTGGGAAGGGCATGTCCTTAAATAAGGAAGCCGCTCTCTGTACTTGAGGATGTCCCTGGAGGGACTGACAACAGAAAGCTGTGCACTGGTAGCATTTCCATAACCTGGGACAAGCAAGCCTTCCCAGAAATGTTCTGTGGACAGCATGTCCTCATATTCACCAAAGCCCTTCCCTTGAAAGCGTTCTTATATTATCGGTCTAAGTCCTTTGCGTGATACTAGAACACAGCCCCACTGGCTACTATTTAAGAATGATGCCAGTTGCTAAGAGGGTCTTCTCATTTCTTTTCCTTTCCCTGATTCTTGTGCTCCACTTCCTTTCAGTGAAACTCTGCCCAGAGCAGAAGACTGCATGCAGCAAGTGATCAATAAATATTTGTAGGGCTGTTGACTGAAATAATTATAATCCCTCTGAAAGGACTTCTACCCAGGAAAAAAAAATTAATTTGGAAATAAAATAGAGTGGAAATACAATAATGGGCTTGCAAAGTGAATTAATAATTTCATGAATTGAGTTATCTTTGAGGTCATAATCAAATAAGTAACATGTGTGCTTTTCTGTTAAAGAGGAAGTTGGAAGACCTGAGCTCTGACTGGAAGGCAGTAAACCATTTACTTCAAGAGCTGAGAGCAAAGCGGCCCGGCCTAGCTCCTGGACTACACGCTATTGGGGCCAGTAAGTACCTTGCATGACATTCTCTTTCTTACGCTGGAGCCATTTGATGAGAGACATAACTGGTATGTCACCTCTTGCATAGACCTTTGTACTGCTCATCCTGCAAAAACATCTTAGTTTTATTGGAAGCAGAGTCTGGTCCACAGTGTTGTATGACCAAGGAATATAGAATCATGTCCTTTGGGGATACAATGACATGGAAGAAAGGCGTGTAAGGAGAGAGTGAGGGAGAGACTGACATCTCACTGATTACAACAGAGGCCTAAGCACATCTTAGAGGAGCCCTAGAGTTAGGCCACGAGTCCCTGGGTTAACATGCTTGGGTGCTAACTGAACATTTGACAGTTGGAATCCATCAAGGGGTACATTGGAAGAAAGGCCTGACAATCAGCTTTCAGAAAAGGTAGCCATTGAAAATCCTACTGAGCACAGTTCCACGCTGAGACACATGAAGTTAGCATTAGTAGGAACCTTAGAAGATTCTTGGTTTAGGTTTCCAAGCCGGGCTAGCTCTGCAGAGTTGTCTGGAGTGGAAGACTGAAGGCCTTGCCTTTGTATCCCTGAATCAACTAGTCATTGAATGCTCCCTGGAAGTGGTGCAAAGAAAGATGGACACTTTCCTTGCATCAGGATTTACAATGTCAGAAAAGCAATGGAGGGTTGCTGGCAATCAGAAATTGCTCCATGGTAGTGGCCTTCTTTGCTTGCTACTTGTTTGGTTTAAACTAACCCTCAATGAAGGATACTATCAACAGTCAGTATGCAGCAACTGTTGTTGTTCTGTGTCCTAGGGTTGAACCGATTCATAGCTGACCCTTCAGAGGGTTTTCAGAGGCTGAAAATCATATGGAAGGAAATTGACCATCTTTCTTGGACAGAGTGGCTGGTGGATTCGAACTCCATACCTTTGGGTTGTCAGTGCAGTCTGCCACCAGAGCATCCTATTCAGCAATAGAGGGTGGGTGCATTAGCCCTGAAAGAAGAATCAGGACAGTATGCTATAATATACACTAACACTAAATTCATGAGGAGCCCATCTCAACCAGTATTCCATCACTTAGGCAACAGGCTTCTAATAAGCCTATTTTGAAAATCACTGAAATTCTTTAAGCTTAGAACAGAATTAATCTCTACGGCTTAACTTCCAGTTAAATAGTAGACAGGCCTCTGAAGTAAACAATCACAAGAGGGGTGTATACATTCCTTACAAGCAGCCATGTGAGATCATTTTTGACAGCATTCGCCCATGGATAAAACTCAGAAGGCACGAAAGACCAGAAAAGGACGAACTAAAACAATAAACACAGTAAAGGGGGAGGAAGAGGGCTATCCCACGTGAGGCTCGCAGTCAACGTCACCATACAAAATGTGTGTGAATTACTGAGTGGAAAACCTATTTTCTCTGTAAGATTTACCCAAAAGCAAAATAAGAAGTGAAAAACAAGTCTCAAAAACATAAATGTCCTTCACAACCCTTCTCTATGTCCTCCTAGAGGACAATTTCTTAGGGCTCTTCCATTTTTGGTTCGAGATAAAGAACGATGCACTGTGACGAGCGAGCACAGTCTGAGTTGGGGTAGAAATGGTTCTTCGTCTAGCTGTGTTTTCACTTTGCTCTGTACTGCACATTTTCCATTTTCTTTCCCTTTGTGTTCATGTGTTGGATAAGAAATGTTCGGAAGGTCTCCTAGTGGTGTTCACACAGGGCCTGGACTCAGCAAGGAATGAAGCCAGAGACAACTTCTTGGCTGTCTTAATTCTGTATTTAGGTAGAACTGGAAACATCTTGGGGTGTTTTACCTCGTCTCCTTTTCAAAGATCAAATGATTAAAATGGTAGATCTTGGTCACTAGTTTTTCATGGGAAGAGTATCTTTGAAAATTTCCTTTATTTTCTCTCAAGTAGGAATATATTGAGCTGGAAGAATCATAGCAGGGTCATGTACAAGGAGTCTACAGAAGACGTGGGTACTGATGTAGTTAAAAGAGGTCGCACTACCTGGGGACCGTTGCCCCTTGTGCCTTGTGGGGCTTCTGAGCAGTCATCAGAGTTAGACTTAATGACATTAGAGACTTGAAAAAGATGTGCAAGCATTATTAAATTTTTTTTGTCAATCTGGGACACTAAAATTGCCATGTCAGGGTTTCTATTTAGCTAATTATGTCAGGCTTATTTCTCTTTATGAGCTGTAATTTTTGGCCTCCTCAGCACATACACATAGTTTGGCCCTGTATAATCATTTATGGGTGTTTGTTCTCTGGCTAGTCCTGGCGTGGTCTGCCTCTGACTGCCTGGCTCCATGAAGGGATTGTGTTCCAGTTGATAGTTGATTGTGTTCCCAGTTGCTAGCTGCGTTGGACTCTGAATTTACAGGCTTGTTGCCCACTCACTCATTTTCTACACGGTAGCCACTTTATACCTGGTGGTGTGGCTTCAAATGGCAGCCCTCAGAAATCTATTTAATCCATAATGTGCAAAAATGTAAGAAGGGAAAAATACTTTCCAAACTCCGGTACTATATTCTAGCATCCTATATCGTGAATCCACTTAAGAAATTATTACTTAACTGACTTCCACGCATTTTGTTGAGGATACAGCACAGAGTAAGAGAAAGGCTTTGCTTTTGTGAAACATCTATTCTACCTGAAGAGAACAACAATAAACAAATAAAAGGGGGGGGTAAAATTACACGTACAGTCTCAGTGTTGGTAAGTGCTATAGAGTGTAGTTCACAGACTGACTCCTTCCAGGGGTATGCTGGGAAGGTAAACTCTCAGAGCCCATCCTGGCTCCACTGAATGACAATGTGCATGCTAATAGACATCCCGAGTGATTGCTGTGCATGAGGGAGAATGTTAGAGACATGCAATTAGAGTTCTTTTATTGCCTTGAGTTTGGAACTGACTCATAGCAGGCCCTCCAGCAGGTTTTTGGAGGCTATAAGGCACATGAGTGATCACCAGGCTATCTCTTGTGGAGTCGCTGGTGGGTTTGAACCCCAGAACATGCAGTTAGAACAATAAAGCAGGAAAAGAGGGAAAGGAAGTGGAGAGGAGGACATTACTGTCCAGAGTTTGTGGCCTGGGGCTTTTCTGTTAAGAGGCTATCTGATAAGAAAGGCAAGCACATGAGAGAGTGCATCTGGGGGAAAGTATTCCAGACAGAGAATTAACAGCCAGTGCAAAGACCCTGAAGCAGGAAAAAGATGGAGTAAGATGTAGGAGACCTTGGAGACTAGACCAGGTAGTGAGGGGATGAGTAGAAGTGAGAGAGAGCCATCTTCCCTACGTCCTGCCCTACTGCCTCCTTCTTCATCTGACAATCTCATCTCCTTGCTCTTTCTCTGCCTTCCACAGAGCTATCAGTAGAAGGGTGCTCTGACGGCTCTGTGCTCTAAGATACTGGTTATAGCTGATGGGGGTCAGAGCAAGAGATGGAGAAGAATTGTTGGGGAGAGAATATTTTTCTCCAAAGCAAGGGCCTTTAAACTTCTGTAGGAGACTGATAGAGAACTGAACAATAAGTGGGTGGGGGAGAATGAGAAAAATGTTGAAGGGGAAAAAGAGCAATTTTTTTCTATAAAAATTTTATTGTATACTGGTTTACTTACAAAGTTCACAGGAGCAATGATCTTGGAAATCACTATCTTACTTGGGAGGGAATGGAGAGCATTATGCTAAGTGCACTGAGTTGCATAAGGACAAAATTTGTATACATTTTCTTCACACTCACTCTTTCCCATTTCCTTAACCCACCCATCCCTCCACCTATCACATTGTGCGACCCTATGATTTCTTGTAAGAAACTTTTTTTAGAGTGGTGGATTTATGATCAAACTTATGGATTATTTATGAAAATTGTGAATTTTCTGATTTACAAAAGTAAAAAGAAATACGTAATTGTTGTTCTTGTTATGTGACCTTGAATCAGAACCAAATCATAGCTGATCTTCCAGTGGGTTTTGACAAGCTATAAATTTCGTCAGAGGAGATTGCCCATCTTTCTCCCATGGATCCAGCTGGTGGAGTCAAACTGCCTGCCTTTGGGTTGGCGGCACAACTCTTTGCCACTAAAGCTCTAAAGGAGTTAAGTATGTGTGTGCTTCTGTGTGCATATATGGGTTTTTTTTGTTTACTCTCACATGAAGTTTATCCAAAATTAATACAATTTTAAAAGAAAAAATGTAATTTAGAAAGTGACTATGTGATTATTATTTTATAACACTATAATTTAGACTACATTATAATGCATATTTATTGAATTTCTGCTAGCTGCTTTTACCTATCCATTTATTTTCTCAAAATAATTGTAAATTACATACAGTTACATCAATTTTTTAATGAAAAAGAGAGAAGAGAAGGGGAATAGCAAGATTAAGGCCATACAGCTGGGAAGAAGCTGAGCCAAGATTCAAATCCAAGTGTGTCATTCTCCAAAGTCTCTGTTTTCTTTTGTTTGGATTTCTTTTTCCTCCTGTGGCTTACATTATCTCTCTACCCAAGAACCTAACGGAAATCTCAGATAGGGATGCAGTAGGCCAATAGTTAATTCTATTTAATTCAACTTTGGATGAATATAAGGAAAAGTGATATAGAATGTTACTGTGTCTCTTTCACTTAAGGGGTGGAAGGCATGAATTTACTTGATTTGAATATTTTAGAATTATAGAACTCTGAACTGAGACTATCACTGACATCATAATCTAGTTAAATAAGTGCTCTTGATTTTCTTCAGGGAACTCTAATGGCCTAGTAGTAAGAAGTTGCGCTGCCAACCCTAATTTCAGGAGGTTTGAATCTACCAGCTGCTCTGTGGGAGAAAGATGGACAATCTACTCCAATATTATTCACAGCCACTGATAATACACTGGAGGGTCAGCGATGAGTTGCCTCTGACCCAATTGCATACAACAAAACACATATCATTTTCACCTATTGACTGTCTTGCTAAGTGATACTTAACTTTCACAGCTATCGTGAAATATCTAAGATCTGACTCTT